TATGTAGTTAAGTAGATATAATGGAATTCAGTTATGTTCAAAATAAATAACCGAAAACAATCGAAACTTTTTTGTTAATTTTAAGTTGGTTGAGAATTTCAAAATAAATGTAATCTACCTTATAACATAGTATAATAAGACAAATATGGTTACTCTATACAAACGGTAGCAGCGCGGCCTGTAGGTGTGCGCGTTCGCCGCGCGCCGTGTACGGACGCACACAATCGCATAATCTCGCGATGCACTTGCGTTGCATAACTCGAATCGTCTCACGCGCCATTTTTTTTATAATACCAAGTGACGAGACAAATAAGTCGTGCACCTGGTGGCAATCGATACGCCTGTCCATAACAGTTGCAGTGCCATTCAGAGCTTTAAATCGTAAAGATCTACTGCTGCATATAGATGCACTGCTACTGCGCCCGTCACCTTGAGACATAAGTTGACAAATCCCATTTACCTGTAATTTCACCAGCAGCCTTACCTTTCCTAACCGGAACGCAGTAATGCTCACATTACTGCTTGGCGGCACAAATAGATAAGGTGGTAGTACTTTCCTGGATGAACTCTTTTACAAGGAGGTGTACTGCTACTTAAAAAAATAATTGTAGAATTGAAGCGGCCCTGCGGCGTTTAAAAAATGGTATCAAACAGTAGTCGCGTTTATTACTATGTTTGTGGTGGTTTGAAAAAAAGTGCCTCAAATTCAGAATTGTTCAGCATTTCATTTCTATTTCATACTCATAATCAGATACCACTCCGCGATGTTGATATAGTAATATCAATACGTCAGTACCTACTGCATTATTACCTACAGAATATTGTGATGGACACCATAATTCAATTATGTTTACAACCTCTAGGTACAACTTAAACAATAATGTAACAACCTTACGCTCTGGGCGAAGTGTAAGTATTTACGCGCTGAACAGGCGGGAGTTGCCGTACCTACTTGTTTTTATTATACTATGTATAGGGTGTGGTTATATCTATTAGTAAGGCGGTGAAACGTTTTTGAATTGTAAATTGTAATAGATCTACACACATAATTGCACAAGAGAAATCCAGAAATATCTAAGCAAACTTAAACAAAGAAAAACAAGCAAATTCCCAAACAAGACATACTAGGAAGGGAATAAAATGGTCATAAAAATATTTCCTTCGTGATTCGCATGTTACAGTTGTTTCTGGTTGTGACAGGAATACGGGGGAACGGACTGCTGACCTAGTTCCACCATCTCGATAGCCAATTAAACCATTTGTCGATGCTACGGGTACGATTCAAACAAATTGAAAGATAATACTATTAGCATAGCATTGGAATGTAATTTAATTGATGTATGAAATACGAAGTATGCCATAATGCTATCCGTATAAATTCAAGACTATTTTTATGAAAATAAGCGCTGCGATGCAAGGAGAATGCAAACAATGTCTTAACAAAATTTATTATCACAACGTAAGATGGCTATAAAATGTTTACCCATTGGTTACCACAATATTTTGCTACCACAAGGTTAATTTCATAAAACAAAATGTATCGTAAATAGTAGTGTAACGTCAGCATTCGTTTGTCACTAAAACGTGTTCCATGGCAAACGACGCAATAAAACGAGGACAAGTTACAAAGAAAACCATTAAGCAGATGTAAATCTACCGGGCTTATTTCGTTGGTTAAAATTATTACTGATTCTCTAATATTAGTAGTCTATCAAAGTGGATCATCCTAATGATCATTTTAATTAAATTTAAATGTAACTTGATCTTAATTAGCGAGACCTGAGATGTGATGTGAGACAGTGGGTTAAAATCCAATCAACCCGCCCAGATTTTAATCCATTTCTGCCTAAACACATTACGATTCCATTTTTCTAGTGTTATACGATAACAAGTTTTTGTGTAGATTCATTTCAATGCTATTTCCAGTCGAATAGATTCAATAGAAAGGCGAAACATGTAATCGAGCAATAGATATATACTATCATTACATTTGAACAAAACTCGATTTATAAAATATTTAGTAGTAAATATTTTTTGCCCTCGATTTCGGGCGTTAATGTGTTTTAATTACGCATGAAGCGTTTCGCTTTCCACATTTGTATGGCGAACGGCCATGGGGTGGAATTCTCTGCCTGCAGACTTGTTCCCTGAAAGTTATAACTTGGACCTTTTCAAGGCGAGAGTGCACACCTAAATAGGTATTATTTAGGTCTGCATGCTACATCGTCGACCTCATCGACACTTTCCCCCTAGAAAACCCGGCGCTAACAAAACGCCGGGTTAAAATCCAGGGGCTTGCCCGTCTCTAAGCGGGACTGATGCTCACTTGTCAGTTTCCCGTTTGACTTTTACTATGAAGTAAAAGTGACTTAACGATTTCAAACGATCCAATCAATTAAATTCTGCTATTTATTTAAAGGCCAGTTGAAAAATATATTATTAAATTAATCAATGCTTATAGTTTGTTTTAAACATTCCCCGAGAAATGTTTTATTTTTCGCGAGTGTGTTTTAAGGTCTACAATTGTATGAGATGTTGGAACCGGAAAATTGGAAAAAGGCATGAACTATATTATTTGGTAACTGATTGTTTGTATATGAAAAATCGCAATTATGCCTATTGGTATTGTAATTTTTTTTTATTGTACCATGTGACGTTGTCCCTATCCTAGAGAAAGGGTTTTCCGGAGAGACTACGGGCTCGACTGCAAGGCTAGGGTACGGCAGACGTTATTATATATTATATGTTTTCACGGGCGTCTCTGGCGGACCTGGATTTGGGTATGGACTCGCCGGAGCTTGTGGTTAGCTGCAGGGACGAACACTTTCGTCTGCCCCGGAGAGGACCAATGAGGAGATTTGGTAGTCGGCTTATGTCCACTTGCACTAAACTTAAGTATGTCTAAAACCAATGCTTAAATTGATAAGACACTCTTAACGCAATGTATTAAGAGTGTCTTTTGCATTGCAATTATTGGTTTAAGACGTACTTAGGTTTAGTGCAAGTGGACATTAGTGTCGGCGGCTCAGCGGTGGTAACCGTTAGTCGTGCTGAGCGCGACGGGAAGTGAGCGTGTCTCCATCTCCGGTACCTATCTGGAAAATAGGAAGAGTGCTGTACGTGCACCCGGGGAGAGTCACCTAAGGCCCTAGCCTTATAGAGAACCGGATGAAGTACGTGCAAACGTGCTGATTCGGGGTTAGGACCTGGTTTTTAGGTGGTCCCTGTGCGCGGTGAGAGTCAGAATGGCGGTTGTTCGTGACGTACCCTATCTACCGACCCGAGAGATAGGGTTTTCCGGAGAGACTACGGGCTCGACGGCAAGACCAGGAGCTCTACAGCTACTAAAATTACTTTCGAAATAAGTGTACTTCCCTTATTCGATCAAATGCTTGCATATGTATAATATATTCAATAACACTACTTTTCCGGATTTAAATCGCGTATATTTGTTTTTTTAAAGAAACCAACATTTCGGGCCCTTTACAGGTCCCATGGTCACGGTTGACAATTAAATCCGGTTGTATTACATACGCGATTTAAATCCGGAAAAATAGTTTCAATGCCAATGTGTAACAATCGCGAAAACTGAGAACTCGATATTTGTGTATATTCTTATGCTATAAACTTATAAATGATAATTTTATATATGTAGATACGCATTATGTTTCATTTACACAAAGTCAGATAGAATAATGAATCTTGGACTAGTGTTATCCATATATCATAGTCTTTGGATTAGAGCAGCCCGACCTAATAACAATAATTTCCATTCATTACGAATGTTTCATCCTGCCCACAAAGTTGACGTTAATGCTTGTTTTTTATATTGTACATTTTCAATGAATTCATCTTTTGTTTGTCAGTTTATTTCGATTTGAATTACGCTTTATAGTGTTACGAAATTGTTATCTACATATAATTAAATATAATGAGAGCGTTGTCAGTATGTGTAGCCATCTAAAGTTATTATGTGCAAATTTTCACGAACTCCGAGAATTAATCATTGCTTTTTTGTCATCGTACAAAAAAATTGTATAGAATCTGATTTATAGCAACCTACAAATCTTATTTTGTAAAACAAATTGCAGAATGTATGTGTAGTGGTAATAAAGTGTGCAGGTATTATTATCACGCTATTCCGTTGTAAATAAACACTTACTAAAACAATTCTAACATCAATCGTTTCAACAATTCTCATAATTATTCTTTTGAAAGCTTGGAACTCGCTGGTAAAATTGTGTGTTTTTTTTAAACTGTAGATTTATAGCGCTGTTAGTATATCCGCCTAACGTAGACGATTTTATAGAATTGAAACTGTTTATTTATCTTCGTTTCGTGATTTATTTCGCATTTATCTCGTTCAAAACGTCATATCTATTCCACTTAATTGACTACTACAATGTGTTTGTTCAGTGTTGCAGAATATGAAGTATCTCAATTTGTAATTCGTTTGGGACGATTTGTAGAGATCCATATGAATTGAATTTTGTATCTAACCAATTTACTGAGCTAATAGTAAAGTGGCACTGCAACTGTTATGGATAGACGTTTAGCTTACCATCAGTCGCACGACTAGTTCGTCCCGTCACTTGCTATTCTAATAAAAAATTTTGATAATCTAATAATATAAATTTTAAAGAGACGGAACGAATAAGTCGTGTGTCTGGTGCAAGCCACACGCCTGTCCATAACAGTTGCAGTGGTGCTCTGAGCTTTAAATCGCATAGATCTGATGGGCACTGCCACTGTGCTCGTCACTCTGAGACATTAGTTGACAAGTCCCATGTGACTGTAATTCCACCAGCAGCTTTACCTTTCAAAGTCGAAACGCAGTAATTTACATATTACTGCTTGGCGGCAGAAATAGGTAAGGTGGCAGTACTTCCTTAGACGAACTCTTTCACAAGGAGCTCTTCTGCTACTAAACATTAAAACGTTTATCTAAAATGTTTACATCTAACTACATTATGTAACATTTAACAGAGCTGCTGTTTCAGGTCGGTGGTAGAGGCAACGGATGTGCAACTGAATATGCGCGTGGGCATCCACACAGGACGCGTGCTGTGCGGCGTGCTGGGTCTGCGCAAGTGGCAGTACGACGTTTGGTCCAATGACGTAACACTCGCAAACAATATGGAGGCTGGAGGGGAGCCGGGGTAAATAAATGTACACTATATTTATTATAAGTATTTTGTGTCAAAATGATAAAATAGGACATTTTAAACCGTACCATCACATCGTAACATGACCCGCTTGTCACAGCCAGTTTTCTCCGGCTAAACTACTCTGTCCTTTTCGTATCAAATGTGGCATTGTACGTATATTAGCATTTAAGCTTAATATTACAGTTCTCTTCATAGGTCCCTTATTTTAAAATTTTGTGCGGGCATATTGGGCTCCTAACCATATAAACAAAACATTAATCTTTGCCAAGTAATCTTAGCTTCGAGGCTTATTAATTTCACAGGCACGACAGCTGCCTAAGCCTTATTTTAGATTTTAGGGGTATATTGAGTTGAGTTGCCGAAAATTCGAAGTAATAAATCTAACGCTACAGGGTTCAAAGGTCCACACGCCGTTCATGGAAGAGGTGTAGGATAGATTTATGGAACTCGATTAAGGTATTGCGGCGGAGGCCTGTTCCTTGCCTTTGATTGTAACACTCGCGCATTAACTACGACGAATTTTTGACTGCGCGTAGTTTTATAAGTTACTCTGATACTTTGGACGGAACTAAGCTATAAATTACGTTGAGAGCACTCCGAAACTTATACATGTGCATGATGCTTTTATGGGCACATGAAAAGTGAAAAACCATTTGAGAATTAGGATTGTCTTTACTTTTGCAACGCGTTTATAGATACCATAATACAAAATGTTATTGTTAACAAATTCATACCATACTGATATTAGCTAGAGCTCTATTTGGGTATTTGTGTGTTTGTAGAAGAATTTGTGGCCGTATTTGCGCACCACTTCATATCCAATTCCGAGCTATCGCTAATATCTTTTTCGTTCATGATACTTACACTGCCACTCAGAGCTTTAAATTACAAAGATCTGTGGGGCACTGCCACTGAGCTCTTCGCTCTAAAACATAAGTTAACGAGTACCATTTGCCTGTGATTTCGCCAGCACCCTTACCCTTCAAAACCGAAACGCAGTAATGAACACGTACTGCTTGGACGCAGAAATAGCTAAGGTGACTGTATTTGGTCGCACTCTTCGACAAGGAGCTCTACTGCAAAGACTTCAAATAAAGTATAGTATAGTATTTAATGAAACTAAAATAAATTTGCCGCATTGTACAAATTTAATGCAAACGTAATCGATATTTTAATCTGTTTTCCAGACGAGTGCACATAACGCAGGCGACTTTGGAGTGCCTGGGCGGTGCCTACGAAGTGGAGCCGGGGCATGGGGCTAGTCGCAACGCCTATTTACGGGACCACTCCGTGCAAACATTCTTTATTATTCCACCGCCTAGACGAAGAAAAGTAAGTCAAAACTCTACTAAATACGATTATTTATTTGAAAATGTAAAATAAGTTAATTTGCGTTTTAATTGCAGTATGGAGGCATATTGTATATTCATTATATGTATGTCCGACAATAGTACTACGGTGAATTTCAAAGTACCTATCGAGAAATCGATTCGCAAATGATATCTACGTGATTATGTAATAGAGAGTTCAGTATGATTTTTTTAATACTTCAATTATTGTTAAAATATTTTTTGCAGATGTGCTTATCAACAGGCGTTGGTCTGGGTTCAGGATCGAAAAGAAAACTTTCGTTCAAGAACGTGTCAAACGTAGTGGTCCAATTGCTTCATTCCATTAAATTCAATGTGGACGTACCCTTTTCCAACATGGCCGCCTCCCCGCAAGAGCTCAAGGCCAATGCTGCTAGAAAGGTACTTATTTATTCTATTTGTCACTTTCAAAATATATTTCAAATATTTCTTTGCATGTTATAAGAGGTTTTGCACACGGTCTAGTAAATAAATGACGAGTACGTTGGTATGTCTTTTTGAATGTTTATTATTCTATGGGATTGTATATTCTTAACCAACGTACGTAATATTATTGCAATCACTTTGTGAATACATGGCCATCAGTACCTACCGCGCCACTGCCTGCGGTTTTTGTTCTCTTCAGCAAATTCTGAGTGATGAGATTTCTCTCCATATAAACTTTACGACGCTTCTTTTTCGTTAAAGGTAAGTCGTATGTTTATCGTTATTTTATTGTTATTTTGTATATTTCCTATTATTGACGTAGTTTTCATAATGTTTACTATTATGGAGAAGTGGTGTCAAAATTGATTTTAATAAGCCAAAAATTTTGAGAAATTAATTAAGTGTTTGTTGTTTTCTTTTACTTCGCATCCTTTGACACTGAGATATCCTTTAATTATGTAGGTAGGAAACACTATGATTAAAAAGAGAATCAATCCAATCCCCGTAATTAGATAGTGAGCTTGGCGTGTATCCCCGCTTGAAATGCGAGGTTGTGGCAGTGGGTGACGAGGTATTGTCGGTAGGTGCTGGACCTGCGGCGCGCCCTGCACGCGGAGCCGGGCTCTGCGGAGGCGCTGAGGCTGGCCGCACTGCGCACTGAGGACGTGAGCACCGCCATGCACGCGTCCGACCCCGCCCCCGCCGCCGCCCCGCACCACCACACCTTCGACGCCGTCATGCAGCACCACGCCCTGCGCACGCTACCGCACCCCACGGTCGCCACATATGGCCTTGCACCGCTACATCCTAGGCGCGACTTGATCTCTCTGCCGCCCTTTAACGTTAACGAAATTCTGACGGCGCAATCCCATTATGTGACGACAGATAGTCGTGCAGTTTCAAGTCGCGGTTTTATATTTAAATGAAGTTGTTCACATATAGTAAAACACGATTAACTTTTGACGTAACGACGACAGGGTGTCGTAAAAATGGGAGGAGCTAGAACGACAGTCGTCTGACGATAAATGAAACGTCACGATAAAAACGTGACGACAGATAGTCGTAGCTTCAAAAGGTTATGTCGTGCAAACGACAAGGCGGTTGCCGTGAAACATAAATTGTCTTCGCGATCTATGGGAACAGCTAGACATGACGTTCAACGATAAAATAATCGTCCACGACTCAGTCACGACAGATAGTCGTGATATAGGCTAGACGCGACAGTCGTCCAACGATAAAGAAAACGTTACGACATAATGGGAACGGCCTTTACTTACATTCTGAAGCTCTGTGTGGGGGATGTACAGCAGATGAAGTCGCCTCTAGCTGGCATTACTTGACAATGTGGAACGTGCACTATTGCACTTGCAGATTGACAACCTACGAATTAAGTCCGTACAAGGTGCACGTCCCATACGAACGCATTTAACAGGGTAATCTACAATGTGGTTCTAGGACTAGTTTAGATGCGAACATAACCATATTGGTATGCCCCTGCCGGTTTTATGATTCTCGCTTCAGAAATATTTGTACATGAAAGGCATTGAATTCATAACTATACTTTCGAAGGGCAATGCGTTTCATAATGTGTGTCCGATTATAACCTCGCTTAAGATTTTCTAGTAGCTAGTTTGGTTTTTTGAGTGGTGGTTTTCGACTAAATCTATGCTGCTTCTTCTTTAAATTTGAAAGGTATGCACTGAAGCTTTCTTGTGGATAAACTGTTTTTGCGAGGGATTTGAAATAATTCTATCATATCTGATTTCGTACTAAGTTAGAAACTTACTGTCTTATACTATATAATGAAAATGCCATACTGACTAAGCCCAAAATTCACATTCGTAGAAATTAGCCCCGTATAGACCGCACATTTTTTTATCTCTTGATGTGAGCACAGCGCCAATTTCCTGATTCCTGATATCTCCAGTTTAGTTGCTGGTTTCATAAATAAAATTTTTACTCGTTGTTATTGCTAAATAAACTGGCATTACTTATAACATGGCAAGTTGTGGTCGAATAAAATTCATCTAATGTTACATTTTATTCAGAGCATAAAATGCAATAACCCAGTACCTAACTTCTTGTGGAAAGGGACTCGGGTACATTGTAACGTAAATTGTCATCATCCAGTTTCGTTAGGTCATAACGATGTGTGGAATACTACACCAGCAACTAACATCCGACGTCTGCTCGTTGTTTTTCAGATTATCCGACCTTGGACTTTAGTTCCACATCAAATACCCGCTGAAACAGTAAGCGCAGACAGTGTTGTTTGTGTGTTTTATTGTTTTCCACCACACACTGGGCAACTCGATTCTCCCTTCCAGTTTAGGCGTAATCCACCATGTTTTGTGGAACACCCTATGTATCTTGCGAATGAGTCGCACTTTTGATATCCACTTCAGGCAGGTACAGGCTAGGACTTGCTAGGCGTGCACTCGATACCACTATCACTGTTTCTTATTGGAACTGTTTTTGTTTCAAAATTGTCAGATTATTATGTACTTGATATTGTTTTATTTGAGAATAAAGCCGGCCGCACCGAACTGTGTTTCACTCGCCGCCCCACTGGCCACCTCAGCACTAAGCATATGGCATGCGCCCCGCTATCCAATAACCCGCATGGACTTATCTGATCTTACCTTTATTTTTTACTGTTTTCTCTACTCTTTAAGGTTTTTTCTGTGCTTGATTATTTCTTTCTAATCTTTCAATTCTTATTTCAATGTGTCAAAAACAAATACTTTTTCGTGCCACAAGAATTATAAATTATAAACAGAAATTATCAAACACAGTTATAATTCATATTCTTTTTCTTAATATTAAAACTACATTGCGATTCCGTTGTGTACATAAATTCATGCTACAATTTCATTTACAACTCTGATTTGTTTAAATATACATTTTTGATGTTCAGTAAAAAGTAATGTTCAGTTTGATAACTGATGTAACAGCCATAATAATTTGAACCTGATTCAAATCTTCTCTCTTAATACTTAATTTTATTTTTAACTATTTACCACTATTCTAATATATAATGTGATGCTGCTTGGGAGACCGGAACTTTTTACTTACTAAGGTCAGTTCGAACTGTTGGATGGAGCATGGAGACAGCATGCTGTGGACCTCATGTACCCTTGACCTTACTGGTTGTGAATATTGCGCCCTGTTATTGTTTAAATTACTACCTTTTATTTGATCCTTTGTGTACATCAAAAGTGTATCGCTGTTAGTTTTGATAGAATTGTCGTACAAGGCGTTGACCGTTAGTGATAATGTGTTACAGAATAAAGTGACGGAAAAATTCAAGCGGCCGCTGAAAAAGCGTCACTCATCTGTGTATCACCAGCCTACGAATCGCGTCAACAAGTTCCTGGCGCAGGCGATCGACGCGCGCTCCGTGCATCGCGAGAAAGCCACGCATGTCCATTTGCTTACGCTCTGCTTCAAAGATTCGGCTAAGGAAGCACAGGTAACAATATAAGGTCGAACACTAACAAAAATCCCTTTGATTCAGCTGGATTCGAACCAACGCCCTGCAGCAAATCGTGCCAGACCCTATGCCAACTAAACAAATTGAACATTCTTAAGGCTGGAACAGGTGCCAAATTGATAAATTAGGCTCTTTTTAAATTAAATTCCTGATAATAATAATAGTCCAATAATCACAAAACAATATATGTGATTGCTAGTAGTCCTTAAATAATTGATTGTATTGAGCAAAATTATAATTTATTAAGCACATTTCTACAAAATAAAATTTAAAGTTACGCCTTCAAATTGAGTAAAAAGCAATTTTTTTTTAATAATTTTTTTTCTCTGAAACAATTAGCTTTTCAAGAAATTACATAAGAATAAAAGTTATCAGGAATGTTATTATGTATCATATGAAAAAATCAGCCCTGTATTCCTAGAAGCTGATTAAAAAGTGCTAGAAATAAAAAGTATAAATTTTAGGCTAAATTATTATTTAATCATGGAAACAATTTTAGGAATACAGTGTTTAGTTTTTTTTGTTTGGAGAAATAAACATTTTAATTTTAATCTCGAAATGTAGCAAAAATGTAATGTGTGTGGTTTATTTACAGTCTAGGTTCAATCATTCTCTACCAAGAAAAAATAATCCATTTGCAGGTACTTGCGGCTTTACGAGTAAAAAGGTGGCAAAATTTTAGATTTGTTATTTATTTTTTAACACAATATACTAGTTTCTACTTAACTTTCGTGTTATTATTATAACATTCTTTAAATTACATTAAAACTAATTTTTCTTTAATCACAGCTCGTGTATTTTGTTAAAAAGTACATAAAAAAGTTTGCAATTTTGCCGCAACTTTACTTACAAAGCCGCAAGTACATGCAGACGGATTATTTTTTTCTACATAGAAAATTATTGGAACTATACTGTAAGTAACCCACGCACATTACATTTTCGTATATTTTGTGATAAAAATAAAATATACATATATTTATCGATACAAAAAAAATATTTTTTTTTTCTCCGAAACTATCACCTTTTCAAGAAATTATACAAGAATAAAAGTTGTTAGGAATGTTACTATCTATCACATAAAAATAGTTCATTTCCCAAATTGGTTCTACCGGGAATCGAACCCCGGAACCAAGAGTTACGGAATGCACTCCGCTTCACTACCCAGAGCACCTAGGCGAAAGACATTTTAGAAAATTTCATTTCCGAAATTGGTTCTACCGGGAATAAAACCCGGGACCAAGAGCTACGGAATTCCCTCGGTGACACTATCTAGAACACCAGGTTAAAACCATTTTAGAAAAGTTCATTTCCCTAATTGGTTCTGCCGGGAATCGAACCTGGAACCTTCTCATGCAGTGCCAACAGTGCAAATTGTTGACCCACCAAGATCGTCTTATTTGGACTATTATATGTACTTATATATTATTTGTATGTAAAATCTACAAATCGCTTAAAACACGACCACCCATTCGTAAAGCAGATTCCCGTGAGAAGAAATATTCACTTTATTTAGCACATATGAAGTTCTATATTGTATTGCTATTTGCAAGTTCGCCCTAAGCAGTCTGATGTCGCTCAGCCAATGTTTGCCTTTCAAAGAAATATACCTTATTGTTGAGAAGCCAGTGTAAAAGTGTGACTAACTTTGTAGTGCCAGTGGTGGCACAAGCTGGTGACGTCAGGCTGCGCCGCGCTGCACCGCGGGACACTACTACTAAATAACTCTACTAAATAAAGTGGGTATGTCTTTACCCACTTTATTTAGTAGAAATGAAACTATACTCCATTGCATTTTCCGTCCAGTGCCGCTTGCTGCAGTTTTCTTTTAAAGAAGATAGAAAACAAAGAAAATAAAACCACCACTGTTCCAGAAAATATCGTAAATATTTGCTCTTGTGACGACGAACCCATGCTTCAACCAGAAAATAGTACTCCAACTTCAATTAAACTACTTGTTCTCACTATTTAGATTTTGACGCTTTTTAATGTTAAAAATTTAGTTAATAAAGTACCTATTTCAATGTATATTTATTTAACCTCGCGCAAAGTACATATCGTTATACTGTACAGTGTACTTCTTATTGTTGGCATTTCTATCAGTTAAAACCAAATTAGTCGTATTGGTCGTAATCACTTTTATTAATTTTTTTTATTACTAATCTAAGTGTTTATTTACGTATTGTACAAAACAAATATATTAATATATATACGTATATATTGTTTTGATTTGACTACTCTTTTCTACTTTTCCATTATAGTTAAAAATAGTAGTATTAGTTGTAAATTGATAGGATGTAACGATCGAATCATTGCACGATTTACCTAATACTTTCACTATTTATGCTATTACGATTTTGACCCTAAAATATTATGTAATGTTTATTTTTACGATTGTTTATTCTCGAATGTTTCTGAGGGAACAACAACGTAGCCATAGATTGCAAAAAAAACTTATGACTCTTTTGTATTCTAATTTAGAGGTTAAATCGTCAAAGTCATTCGCTACTGTTCAAGCCTTAATTTGAAACTGATTTACTTTGGTTTTGTCAAGAAAACATAATGCAACAGTAGAGCTCTCTGTAAAAGAGTTTGTTTAGGGAAGTACTGCCACGCGAGCATTACTGCGTTCTTGTTGGGGACTTTTCAACTTATATCTCGGGGTGATGGTCGTAGTGGGTGCCCCTCAGGTCTGCGATTTAAAAATCTGACTGGCACTTCAACTGTTATGTTCGTCCCGTCAGTTAGTGTAATAAAAAGAAGTTGACACTGGACTTCGGACCATTCTTATCGTAAACAGCATAGAAGCAAGTCCACACTGATCACAAAAATTTAAATAAATTTCGATTTTTGTGGTCCTGACCATGGGGTCTATAAAAGGCCCGAAAGAAGGGTTTGATTCAAAAACAAATAAATAGACTTCATTTCCAATGTGTATATCATGAAAGTATAAGAACTCGATAGGCTTTGAGTTAATACAAGTTTTAAATTTCACTCTTGTCACGGTACTTAGACATCGGTCCACTTAACCTGGTATATGTAGATTAAAGTCAGCCGCTAACTAGTAGATAATAATAACTGCCTCCGTGACTGAACGGTTACCATGCTGGTCTGCTGCTTAGCGGCTCCTGATTCGATTCCCAGGCAGGGAGAAATGTTTGTATAGCCTACTTTGTTTTATTTCTCTCGTGAGTTTGGGTGTAATTTGTGGTTGTCTATGTGTGTGCCCATGGCACCCGCGACATGCGGGGCTTTAAAAAAAGTTTATTAGTATTATTATTATTGCACACATTATGCACGATCAATTCACAGTGCAACAGAGACCGAGAGCCGGAAAAATTTCGTCAAATATGTCGATCCTCTGAACATTGAGCCGGCTCAGGCGAAGTGCAATCTTTGGTGCGAAAGAGTAACCACCTACGTTTGTCCCGCCTTCAGAGAGTCTCTCTGGACACGAATTAACATGGGCAATCTGGAATTCTTCTTCTCTGGACTCAGTTTGGTTGGAGTAAGGACAATTTGTCAGATGGGGATTTTCGGATGGTTCTAATCTGGACTGTTTGTGTGATGCGATTTAAGCGATGGCCCATCTGACATCATGCCCTGCTTGCCTTAACACCTGCACGTGAGGATGTAATGGCGGCTACTAGTGACGCGTCTGGCGTGACTGGGTTCTGGGCCACAATATTAAAGTGTATGCCAACGATAGATAAGAAGAAGAAGATTGCACACCCTCCACATATATACACGCCATTCTGCATTTACTTGATTTCGGTTCGTAAGTGCGGTTCAAACCAGCCCACAGGCTGAGAACAATAAATAAGACAATAATAATATTGACTTACCAATAGATACTGAAGTGATATCATAGCTCTCTGGTAGTACCCATTTGTTCAGAACACTAAATATGTGCAAGAGATATATGCCTAAAAAAGGTTCTATGGTTTTCAGTATCGAGCATCAACAGACGGCGGCTGGGCAGGTTCACTTGGCGCAGCATTAGGTGCACTAGCGGCAGCTGGCGCCCTCCAAGCAGCCATACTTCCGCGTACCACGATACTGCTTCTTCTTTTTGTCACCGCCTTCGCCTGGTCCGCCGCAGTGCTAGCTTTGACCCTTGCAGCAAGGCTCAGGCTTATTCCTTGCGACGTATCGAGGCCATTTGCTTTGAGAAACGCGATTACTACCTTCACTATTGTGCTGGGCTATGCTGTGGGTCAGGTTAATGTGGTAAGTTCTTCGACAATATATAATAATAATAATATATATTATAATAATACTTAAAAAATATCCCCGGTATATGTATCAGTTGGTTTATTTGCCATCTAAGATACTGTAACGACATGTAGGTACTATTGTCGTACTTCAAGTTTCAATTGTCTTGGTAGTCTCTTGGTAAATTTAGTAGCAGTGGAGCTCCTTGTGAAAGAGTTCGTCCAGAGAGGTACTGCCACCTTACCTATTTCTGCCACCAAGCAGTAATGTCAGCATTACTGCGTTCCGGTTTTGAAGGGTAAGAGTGCTGGTGCAGTTATAGGCACATGGGACTTGTCAAATTACGTCTCAGGGTGACGAGCGCAGAGGCAGTGCTCTTGCCAGATCTTTGAGATTTACGGCTCTGAGTGACACTGCACTGTTAAGGCCCATTTAGATGGAGAGAGTTTATCGTCTCGAAGATACGATTATCAAAAGAATACAAAAACTTTCCTAGTCTAAACGTTCGCGATTATCGACCGTCCACGTGAGCGATAATTGCCTCGCCTTTAAATATTGAACGTCTCCGTGTAAACAGAACTCGAAAGCAAAAATCGTATTTCGAGTTTCTGTGCCAGCCGTTTCTAACACGAGTGCAGTGCGCGAGGGTGTTTTGATTATCATTGCTTTTCTAAGACAAGACAAGACTTAATGAAACGAGAACGAAAAAAAATTTTGGATTAAGAAATGTTATAAAATTTGGAAAAAAATGTATATTTCTATACAGTGCAATGAACTTAATATTATCAACAGTTCCAAATTTGAATGATTTTTGCGTCATTTTGATACGTCCATAGTCAATACCGCAGTAATTACTGAATTCGAATGGCAATTCTCGCACTCAAAACGGTTCGAACCAATATGTACGATAATCGTATGAACTTGAAAAAATGTCATACGAGATCGTGTTTAGACAAGTCGAAAACTCATGAACAAGAATCTCCTTACTACATATTTCTCTGTGTAAACAGTCGAGGAAGCGATTAAGTTGCTTGCGAATCTTAGAGGCGAGATTTTAGTTCTTGCCTGAATGTAAACATTATGATACGATAATCTTATGGCGATTATTGCTTACGATAATCGCGTACGATTTTTTGTCACGAAGCGTGCGAAAAACTCTCTCCATCTAAATGGGCCTTATGGACAGGCGTGTATCATCTTACCATCAAGCGAACGACTTGTTCGTCCCGTCACTTGGTATTATAAAATAAAAAAAATTCAATAAGGGATACAGTGCCATTATTAAGATGAAGAGCGAAAACAAAGTACTTATTATATATTGACGACCTCCGTGATCCAGTGGCTTGCACACCGGTTTTCATGATGTCGTTATCTTTAAGGCCCCGGGTTCGGTCCCCGGCCGGGTCAATGTTGAAAACTAACTTTTCCGTTTTCCATAACAGAAGTGCTTTATAGTCACTTACTTTGGGATCAGAGCAACGTATGTGATGTTTTATAATATTTATTTAATTATTTATTATCTCCTCTTTTTTCCCCAGATAACATGTCGTGAAGTTCTCGTCTGCAGAAACCTTACAGAGAATGTAACGACAATGGACGATATACGAATGATGACCAGCGATATTGCAGCGGCTTTGTGGAGCCACAGTGACCATAGAGCGTGTCCTATCCCTCTGTACATAACTCTAGGATGTTGCCTCAGTATGCTGACAGTGGCTGTATTCTTGAGACTGCCCATTTTAGTGAAGGGCATATTATTGGCTGTCATGACTGCTGGGTACATGGCTGTGATTATGGCATACCACAAGGACCTGTTTGATTGCTACGATCTTATGACTGAGTAAGGATACTTTTTTCAATTATGTCGCTGTTATACTGCGAATACCAATTATCTGATTTAACTATAGGAAAATGCAACATAATTGCTTTAATAAAATGCAAATATTGACATAGTTTCATTAAAACATAAAATATAGAATAGAAATCTTTCTCCGTATAAAAGCACAGTAAACAAGAAAAAAACTTACATAAACAATTGTCGGAACTTCATGATTTAGAAATAGTTTAGAATCTTCAGACGTCGTTTGGGCAGATTTAGACCAGAGGGATCGTGCAATGAGATTATGTTTAATAGTAACACAGTATATTTTAATCACTATGAAATCACATAACAATTTGTAATTTGTATTAATTTTAACCATCAAAATAGTCACTAGGCTAAACGTAAGACAGTGTCTAGGTAGCTTGTGTGCGGCCCGAGAGTCTTAACCACCACAGCATCCCCCTTCGTGTTTCACCACTGTACCCCATCCAGACTCCGTCTAGGTCCATCGGCAGAGGGAGCGCGCGATACTCTCTGTAACTCGCAGGTGGCGCCTCAGTTCGTCTGTTCGTCCATGTTCATGACCCTTTCCGACGTAATTATGTAAAATAATAATAAATAAAACTTACAGCGTATGCGCTGTGCTGTTACGGAATTTGTCATCAACTCGGTTTATTGTCGTCTCACTGACGGTGCTACAACGCTGTTTTTCAACGGATCCGGTAACAGAAATACACAACACACAGAACATAACAGATGTTTAACTTGATAACATTGTCATGAGCTATTTCGGTACAGCCGATTTCATATAAAAATGAATACTTATACAATATTTAATAAATTGTGAAGTACCTAGGTTAACAATTCTCAAATAAACATTTAAGAATTTGGTTAGAATTAGATAAACAACTCATAACCAATTAACAAATAACAAAATGCAAAAATATCCTCGACACATCAGCTGTTTTGGACGTTTTTTTAATTTTAAACAAACGCTCTGAGTAATTTTTTAAGCACAAAAAGTGATGATATAACATCATCTGTCACAAATTAACGCGGATGACCACGGTATTTGTAAGAAATGTTCGTCGTTGAAATTCCAGTTGCATTGATTTCAAAGTATTTTTTTGTAAAATAATTGTTTTTCCCAGTATAACAGAGATATTATCCAATAGTAACTATAGATGTAAAGGTACTAGTAACTAAAATAAACTAGATAAATAAGAAATCATATAAATAAATGTTTTAAATTGAAACACCCAGGTAAAGCTGACTTAGTAGTTGTTTAGTTGCAGGTATCGGTCGGACTAACTTAACTTCACCATTTAACTTTACAAATATTCTTAATTCTGAGAGGTAAACCTTAAGTGCTAAATAGTAGTTTGTACTATAGATCGTTTTAAAGAGAATGAGGCTCTTAATTAGGCATTTAACACCAATGTTAACATGAAGTAAAATATGTTAAATAAAAACTCAAACGACTATAGGACTTAATGTCTTTTACCATTGCTTGATTTTTAGCATTCTAAAGCAATGTTTGTAGAAACATTTAAATTCCTAAATATGGACTTAAGGTACTTTACCTCTCACCTACAGAATTGTGCACAAAGAAACATCACGTACCTAAAGCATTTAAATATCTTGCAAACATTTAAAGATATTGCTAAGTACAAACTTCTTCTACACGACCTGACCATGACACATGTTTAGTCCTGATTATCTTTTATATTTTATAGGCCAGGCCCGTTAGGGTCAGCATATGTCGAGTGTGCATGGACGCTAGCATTAGCGCTAGCCGTACTTTTACATGCGCGGCAGACAGAGTGGACTGCTCGACTCGACTTCTTGTGGCAAGCCCAAGCGAGAGACGAGAAGAGAGATATGGATGCTTTGCAAGTAAGATTTTGCATTGTATTTTTCCCAAGACTTAGCTAAATAGGGTTTTTAAACAGTGCTCAGAGAAACTTTTCGAAATTGTGCCTCTTTCACGTTACCATAATCACACTTCCCGCCAAAAGAGTACAGCCCATCTCCACAACCTTGATGCCGCGCATTGTAAGACCACGCGGGCATCACGTTCGTTCCGTACTCGAACCTGCATGATGTAAAATGGTCTCTCTCCTGAAATATTTCCTTTGCGCTATGACTTGGGTTTCTTCAAACGGGGCTCTTAAAGGCTGGCAATTCATTGGCAGCTCCTCTGATGTTGTAGATGTCCATGGGCGACGATGACCACCTTCCATTACTTGGCTCATCTGCTCGTTTGCCCCCTATTTTATATAATAATAAGTACACGGTCAAGAGCACGCCAAGCTTGACGCTAAAGATTGAAATCCAACTCTATGGTGCTCATGATAAGAACGGTCCTTACAAAGGTCCTTCCGGGAAATACAAAGTGTCAAGCTTGACGTGCTCTTTACTGTACATCAACATTTGCGCCGACTTTCTTGTTATTCCGGACTTTCTTGTTACGCTACATCAATATTCATTTGTAATATCTTGAATATTCCAGGCTTCAAACCGAAGAATTCTGTTCAACTTACTACCGGCTCACGTGGCTACGCACTTTTTGGACAATCAGTTCAGGACAAACATGGTAATTAAAAGTTTTGAGCTTCAAGCGCAATATTTATTATAATTATGCTCAAGAATCGGAAAATCTTTATTTTAAATAAAGAAATATTCAAATATTATTATTAAATATTAAATGAGTAATTTAATCATCAACTTATATTCCATGAAATTGTTTTAAAATATTTCATTTCACTCGTGTCTACAATTTTGAAACATTACATCATATGATTTAGGTTGTAGGATTACCACTTTTCAACTTTGCTTCGCTTTTACAATTACAAAGACCCATGCTTCTTTGGCGAAGTTAAAATAATTATGTATCAAAGTCATATATAGGTATCTTCGAAGTCATAAAAGCTTACATTTAGTCAGTATTCCATCTAAAGGCACAGGCATGATTCATCATCATCACATCTTTGCACTTCGTAATTACTTATCATTTCATCAACAACGTCTTATCATTTATTTCAACAGCACTCAAAATCATGCGTTTTAACACGTTTTGTAATGTTTGTTATGCTTTTGTCTATGTGTCGCTCTACAAGAAGAGTGGGGTTAAGTGACAGACACGAAAACAGATTAACACAACAATACGGCTTTAAGAACAAAACATATCAGGTATTAAGCACAAGAGCACATAGTAACACAAATTAATAGATATTGAACTTAATAGTTTTCACCTAGCCTTGACGATCTGTGCTTTTCTACTATGAGCTTACAATGTTCATAGTAGCTAGCGTCAAATATTTGAAAATTGTTTCGGGGCAAATATAACGGCGCCTCTAGCGGTCACAAGAGAAAATTAAATGTTCTAACATATATATTAAATAGCGATTGTAGAGGTATTGCTCATAAGAAACGTACAGACGAAAGGTCTGCGTAAAGGTTAATTGTATTCAGATTTCTTTACCTAAAATAAATCTTAAAAACTTGTGTAATAATAACAATGTATAAAACCGGTAAGAAACAAATACACGTAGTGATGTCACTACCCGACCCTGACTTGTTTGGCATGGCTTGTGCACGCATTCTGGCTGACACAAGAGGCGCGGTTGGCAGGACCTGTACCATCAGTCGTATCAGCGCGTGGGCGTGGTCTTCGCCTCGATCACCAATTATCACGAGTTCTACATGGAGCTTGACGGCAACAATCAGGGCATGGAGTGTCTTCGGTTGCTTAATGAGATTATCGCTGATTTTGATGAGGTGAGTAAACAATTACACTGCGACTTTTCTGGAATTTTAAATTAAAAATCAATACAATTATTAGGCAGAACAATTTCGTTATAATTAAATTTTTTATTGAATTGATATTCAATTATTTTTTGTGAAATTACTCCACTAGTTTGTTATAATTATTACTATAAAGATCGAACACTCAGAAAAAATTCCTTCGTTCCGGTCGGATTCGAACCGACGTCTTCTTGCATACCGTGGCAGACGCTATACCAACTAAGCCACCAATTTCGTTATACTTTTGTGATTTTAAAACGTTCCTATTTTCTCCGACAACTTGACGTATGCTCTTTTGCGATTTAAAGCTTTGAGGAGCACTGCAACTGTTATGGACAGGCGTGTCGTTTACTACCCGCATCATAAAAAATGACGAAAAAATAGGGGTGTTAGAAGTTGTTGTCTTTTTCTGTTAGTCAGTGTGTGAATATTTCTTTGTGGCGTCTTTTATGACGGCTTTCAGAACCAAAAGGTTGGCTAATGGGTCAGATATCTTATGACATCAACTGTATGTGTATAGTATATGTATTTAAGATAATTTTTTAACTATGCGTGTATTGAGTGAAAATAATAACTTTCAAAATCATGAAATAAAGTGAAATTAAAAATTTTACAAGTCTAATAATGCGTCGAAAACCGTTACAAAATTACAAAAAATTCAAAGATCTCCATGCAGTTATCTTTACAATAAATAAATAAATAAATATTAAATTATAGCTATCCTTCCGCCCAGATATGTGAAATTCTTTGTCAGATCTTAATTAAATAACTGGGATTATTATGTTTTTCTAAAAACTTTAAGTTAAAACAAGGGCTAAATGAAATATGGCCTATATTTTATTTACAGCTATTGGGCGAAGACCGTTTCAGCTCCATTGATAAGATCAAGACAGTTGGTTCGACGTACATGGCGGCTGTCGGACTGATCCCTGACAAGAAGATGATGGACGAACCTAGCACGCGGAAGCATATGGCCACACTCGTTGAGTTTGTCTTCGCTATGCGTGATAAGCTCAAGGACATCAATGATAACTCTTACAACAACTTTATGCTAAGAGTTGGTAAGACATTGCTATGTTATTCTACGATTGCGTTATCCTTTCGGTTCTTTGAAGTGAGAAGGTAGCTACATAAATGTGCTTTTGCAGGTATCAACGTTGGACCCGTAGTTGCGGGTGTTATTGGTGCAAGAAAACCTCAATATGATATTTGGGGCAATACAGTAAACGTGGCTTCTCGTATGGATTCCACTGGTCTACCAAATCATACACAAGTAACGGAGGAAGTATACCAAACACTGAAAGATATGCCATACCAGTTCGTATGCCGAGGCAAAGTCAAAGTGAAGGGTAAAGGGGAAATGACAACTTATTTTTTGACAGACAGAGCCGCTACAAACGGTACAACACAAAATCCTATAAATGGATCTTCTCAAAATCCGCCAACGGCATACGGAGGTGTTGCAACTCCTTTAGCGATGATACAAAACTCTATTCGTAGAACGGCTGCTCCAACTAATCGACTTCCTCCACTAAGAGAAACGACAGTTGCCAGCGAAAATGAACCCTTACTGCCAACGAATGTTCATCAGATCAACGGAAACAACCATAAAGGGAGCAAAAATAGACGGAACAAAGACTCTGAGGATACACCACCACCGCCCCCTCCACATGGTGTATCCGGAAACCCAAGATGGCCGCCACCTCGCGCTCTGGTGCCGCCGTGGCCGCGGCCACAAGAGGCACGACCTCCCGTGGCGCACAAAAGAAGACCCCCGGCAAGATTACCCCGACCGCGATCCAGTGAGAGTTTACCTCTAGCACGAAGTCCACGTGTACATTCATCGGCTGATGAGCTCAGTTCTTTGACTCGATCTCCAAGTCTAAGCTCTTCAGATGAAAGTTACTCACGCACTACAGACGCCTCTCCTTCACCACCACGGCCTCCGGCTTGGCCTAACCGTCAACCTCGCATGGAACCGAGTCCGTACGACTACCCGCCTAACAGAACAAACAAAGCTGCGACCAATAATATAAACGAATTTTATGCGAAGCATAAGCAGTTGAGTAAAAAGCCTTCCCTGGACGACAAGTATCTAGATGGAAGCATTAATTTCCATAAAGAAGAGGAAAAGTTGCAAAGGAGTATAATTAATATGTTGCAAGCCTCTGCAAAGAGGGATGGTTGTAGCCAAACAGACAAGAAAAATGTTACGAATCGGTTGGGTCAAAGAACAAATTCGTTTTCGAGTTCGGGTAGCCGACCAAACAACTTAAAACATTTGAATCATGATTCGCGAGAAGTGTTTACAAAGCGAAGTCCTACTGACGTGGCGTGTGTACCGCCATTCGAGAGAGAAATTCAAAGACTGCTCGACGACAAAAACCTTATCAAGAGCAATCCGCCGAAAACGGAGCGTAAGGAATTGAAACTTGAACTTGGGTAAGTTTGAATTAGATTTGATGGCCATGTAACTATTAGGATTATAAAGGAGATATAGTGTAACTGGTGTGTGAAATATTATTTTAGGCGTGGTCAGAACCCAGGATTAGAGCCAGTGCGTAATTGTAACAACAATAGTAGTCCGCTGCACGCGGTGGGGCTAGCAGCGATTACACAGTTGGCACGCCAGGAGCCACCTAGCCCGGGACGCGCCTCGCAGCACGTCGCCTCGCCACTACGACCACTGGCCAACGAGTTCCCGGGAGTCCTGCCAACTGATGTCGTCGTTGAACTACCCTCTCCAACGCATTCTAGGGATCAAAACGCAAGGTGAACTATTTATTTGAAAGCCCAAGTGGCTTGAATGGTGAATAGGCACGATCACAATATTAACTAATTTTATTTTGTAGTCCACCGTGTGACAGAAAGCCGGAATCTGTAGATGATAAAGGAAAGCAGGAAAAAAACGTTCAGGAAAGGCTACATAATCGAGTAAGTAAGCTGTTTTAGTTGTCTATAATCTGTTTAATGCTAGTACATTTTCTCATCACGACGTGAATTTTTATTTAGGTAGCCGCTTTGAATCATAGGGAAATAGGCATCTATGGGGAGAGTCAGTCCGAATGGAGCTCCTCATGCTCGGAAGGCGAGGGTGACGGAGACGGTGCCCATCCTGAAAGCACAGGCTATACTACCGATGATCCTGCTCTGGAGAACGTATCTATGTTGAACGAGGCCGGGCTCACGGACGCGGAAGCAGCATTGAGCGACGTCAACTCTTGTTACTTCGATAGGGACGATGACGTATCGTCCAGAGCATCTTCCCGGCTCCTCGACTCAGAAGCGCTCGTGTCGTTAGAGTCACTCAGCGCCATCTACGATTCGGACGAGCCAGCTCACAGGTATTTAGCGAATATTCGCACAGTCAGCGAGTCGATTACGCGAAACTTTGGGCAGCCCGCACACGTCACAGACGGGGAAAGCGATGTTTAGTGATAGTGATGTGATACATCTGTTGTGATTATACTTGAGCGAGACACGATATGGTAAAGAGAGGCGCACTTGTTGATGTGATGATTTTTAACAAAAAAATATCTTCAACGGATTGTGATAAAGGAGTAATCTCATTTAGAACGATCATGACAGTGTTCCCAAAGAAAACGCGTTTGTAAAATTGTATAGAATAATCAGCTCTCTAATTGGTGAACATTGATGAATACTCAATTTTCGTTAGGAATTATTGCTTGTGGAGTTGACTATCTTATTGTATTGCAGACGTGCCTGTTGTTCTGAACTGATTCGTATTGTGGATGTAAATTATGTCAATATGTACCTATATACTATAACTATTCACTGTATGATATTCGTGTACAGCCGAAAGTGCCATGTGATGGCTTCACGCATCATCTAGGAGTATGTAATGATCTCTACAATTATAAGGTGCTCTGACTTAGTAATATGTATGGTTCGTCTTGTGATAAGTGGTATAAAGAATTCGAATTTGAGCGACCAATTTGTAACGTCAGTTAAGTGTAAGGGCTGGTCCCGCTGTTCTAAAGTATATTGTCTCACTAATTATTATGAAGTTCGCATACTCTGATGCTGATAGTTTTCAAGTAAGTAATCATCGATATTTTGCATTTCGATTCTGTATGTATCTAGAATAATCGAAGTTATCATATGTTGGTTAACTACTTGACGAAAATATAAATTTTATCGCTCCCTTTACAAACCTATGAAAAGTTTTCGTAAAATCGAAATTTTTCATAATTTAGCACATAATCTTATTGTCAATCATTGTAATGTATTTTTATATATTCAGTTATTTCTAGTCATACATATTTCTCTATCATAATATTAATTATTTTCACAAGTGCAATACCTACTGAATATTCAAAAAGATATCATGTTAAACAAAAACTTTATGTACTTGAAATTTTAAAATTATGTTAACTGTATATATTTTGCAGTTGTGTCATTTAAATCCGTTAAAAGCCATGTACAAGCGTTATATAACACCTGTAGCGAATATTTGTTGTAGAATATTCTCCGTATTTGATAAAAAACATTATGTACTTATATATACTCCCGGACACATAATTCGAGCCACCTCGCATTTTTGTCGTAAAGGGCTAAAATACAAAAATTATCGAAGAAAAAGTTTTCTCCGGTTTTGCAAATCTAAATTCCCAAGAAGAACTTATGGAAAAGGCACTTAGTATACTAGTTTCAAAATTGCATAATAGTTTTTGATCAATCAAACACTGTTTACGCTTAGGGTGAAAATGCGTGGTGGCTCGAATTATGTGTCCGGAAGTGTATTATTTATGTAACTTGTATAAGTAATTAAGTTTATGTCAATTTCATGTATCGTCGTTATTCAATAGTGTAAGTTAATCTATTTCAAATAATATACCTAATATTGATTGTTTTGAGACATTTGTAGCTTCTAATTTTCCTTAACCGTGTGATTTTTGAGCGTAGAGGAAGATTTCTGGAGCAGGTAAATGGGAAGGAAAAATTTATACATATGTCCTTATTTTTGTATTATTAAATTACGGACAAACCTCTATGGTGACTGTTTGAAAATTCTAAGATTATTTTGCGGCTTTTAATTAAATTAGTTTTTTGTACTTAAGTATGAATTCCTAAGTAGCAAAGTGAGTCACGGGCGCTGATTATAGAGCAGAGGTTTATGTTAGCTTATAGTTATTTTTGTACGTTGCTTGTATCAAGCGGTTAAGCCAATCAGTGACTATTTGAACGTCTTACCAGTAAAATCAAACGAAAGAGCCGCTTTTATTTGCGCTTTTTACTAAAGTTACGGAAGTTCTCGCAACATACTGATTATTTTCTGTAGAGCGATTGTGACCTTAATGTCTTGTAAATAATGAGGAGCTCGCTCCACTCAGATTGTAGGAAATTGTTAATCGTTGTAAATATTGTTAACTGTCAAGTGCTATTCCACTTTGAGCGCGTGAATTTATCACATTAAAAAGAAGCCCTTATTTTTCGAACGATCTTCTTGTTTGCTAATATTATTGTCAGTATTTGGTACAATTTTTCCTTGTTGTATTTACAAATAGTGCCAAAATAATTTATGTATGCTTTTACTTTGTTATCGTATAATTTGTGCTTGAGTATGAAAATTTAGAATGATAAAAATGAACAAAATAATAAATTTGACAACATTATTTGTTTAGATGTAATATTTGTAGATAAATAACCTAGCTAAAATAAAATCAATTTCAACATATAAACAAGAAACTTTATTCTGGTTAAAAGAAAAAAAACTCTTAATGGATGGTTAAAACTACATAAATATATTTAGCACATAATGTAACGTTGTAGTTTCCAATGTTGATTTTCCTGTAAGTCATTCTAATCATCTTAGGTGATGCTGTTTTCATCTATTTTACATTTACATTTTAATATTTATAAAGAATTATAGTAAAAATACATGTAAAAATGCCATCTTTTGACTTCATTCTCTGTAAGCTCAATAAAATTGAAGTTATAAGCAAGTGCATGTTATTATGCCTTTTATCAAAATATTGTGATTATTTTCCGTAGTTACTTGACAGCGCCTTATGTAGAAGTGTATTGTGTATTTCTATTTATTTCAATTCAATTAAGCAATATTAATAACAATTAAAGTGGTTTACATGACAATTTATTTGATTTTTTTTTAAATGAAGTTTAGTAGTACTAATTGAATAATTTTAAAGAGTTAATCTGTTCTTTGGAAATTGAATTTTAAATTTTAGCTTTTCGGTGTCGGAAAAAATCGTGACGAAACCTGCACACATCTGCAGGGAAGTAATAATAAAGGACTTGCGTGTGAACTACATCCTAAGGTCTCTCATTGTCAGAGGAGGCCTGTGCCCAACAGTGCGACTATATAGGCGAACTATTATTGTAGTGTAGTCTGTGCCAGAATACATTAATACCTTACGATGTTGAATTTTACGACTGAAAACTCCACTTACTCGGTAGCCATGGTCATGTTCATAGAAGAAGCCACATAAAAAGTATGTATTTTTCAAGTAGGTAGAAGCTTCTAAAACTTATATTGGTTTGCAGGTCAGGTGCGAATCAGTTACACCACCGCCTACCGCACACTAATGCCCTTCGCCTTGAAGCGCACCTTGAGACATTCTGTAACGGATGTCATAAAACTTTGGTAACGTCTTTTTAACACGTGCTTTACAGCTACTTTAGAATTCCTAGAAATGTCAAGGTACGGCGTGGTGATAATGGAGAGAAAAAATGTGGAATCTTTAGTAACGGACGTAGTTAATAATAACGCATTATATAACGGCCTTATTGTACACCAAACTTGCAGAAGCAGTGCATGTCAATTAAAGTTGGATTATTACTGTTTTATAATCTGCGTAGGTGCCATTGTGCGCGAGTTCTTTTATGTGGTTCTTTCAAAATGTGACTGTTGTAGTCATTATCTATGGTTGTAGTTGAGGTTATTTCGAAATTTGTTTCGAATTTTATTATAATATTTTAAAATGTCCAAGTGACACTCTCGCTTTATTAAGGTATATATATGTATGTATATAAGTATTTGCATATTTATACCTAATTTGGTAAAGTATACCTCTACCTAACCCAAGGTTTCATACTGAATGTGGGACAGTGGGGTTGTTGGGTATGACATCTACTTAACGTCGACATGAAACTAGTGTGTCACGCACATTGGTTGGCATAGCAATATTGATTAACAATGTCAAGTCATGGAGATCTTTGCCACAGGTCAGGGGAGACACTACTCCAAAACAGAAAATAACAAAATCAAAGAAGCCTCTAAATATGATGGATGATGATGTACGTTTGTATAGAGACAGCGAATACCTGACATACTAACACAGACACGAAACAAAAATTGTATCTTCGTAAAGTAATAGTTGGAGTAGCATCGTGGAGGGCCAACTGTGAAATACACCAGTCGTGAACTAATCTAAAGTTCTCTCAACTCATGACTCAACTAGTCCGTAATCAAAGGCAGTTTCATTCAAAATAATGCGAGATAGTTGGAATGCGAGTGAGGCAAGTATAAGTATGACGCGGCACGCCGTGGTTACCACCACAAGCGCACAGCTGCCCGCTGTGACGCCGCCGCCTATTGGCTGCGAGAACCGGTCCGCAGCCCGCGCCCCGCTCGGCCTCCGCCCCCCTTACCACGCTACTAAACAACTTCAAAACGAATTCTTATTCATGGTCCTTGCCACGACCGTTGCTGTCGCTGATAGCGCTCTTCGCGCCCGTATTTCGCGTAATCTTATCGAAATGTGCTCAATGTTGAATGCAATTCAAATATTTATTGCGTGAATTACACCTTACTACGTGTATACTGGAAGAAACTTAGTAGGTACGTGGAGTGGTTACCTTAACGCTATGACAGAATACAGACTGTCTAGTGTTTTTGCCCTTTTTGTTTCACCGGTACTTCGTGAGCGGCTTCGACACAGGGTTACCTTAGCCATGTGCATCAGATAGTGTTGTGCTCTTATTAGTTTGTCGACAAACTAATATGCTAGCTAGTGACAACGGTGCGTGGTGAAGTTCAGTGTGGTGAATCATAGCGTGTAGTGTCATAATGAAGGTGACGGTTTGTTTCGGGTCTGTGCGGGTGCTGGTTCCATGTGGCGCTGGTGACCTGCTGGTCAGGGACCTTGTGCGGGAAGCGATACTCCGGTACAAGAAAGCCACTGGACAGGTTAGTACATATTGTTTTAGCTATCTGCGCGCGTTTTCTTTCACTCTTCATTGATAGCGAAAGGCTCCGTTTTACCAAATTCAAACGTAACGTAAATTTTACCCGCGACCTATGTCTCAATATTAAAATTGGATTGCAATAGTAAAATGCAAGGCGAGAGAATGTTGAAATGGCTTTATGATGCATAGCTTACAGTAGCACATAGGTATACACTTGTAATTTGCTAATACACAATTTTAATAAAGCTTACTACGCAACATCATAAAATGTTATTGAAGTGCGAATGGTTATGTAAACGTAAATACTCGTAGGAGTACCTAAAATAAAGAAGTTGCATACCATCGACTGCAGTAGATTTTTTAGATTTAAAAAAAAGTTTTTTATTTATATTAATAAGGTTGTGTACCGTATTATTTATTATCTGTAGGTACAAAAAATTAATCTAGGGACCTAGGTATACGTGGTTTTATTGTAAAAGAAATTCCTTACGGATGATGCATATCTATAAAGTCCACTATTATTTATAGGATGCTTTCTTGATGGTTTACAATACCTACGATCTCGAGTAAATTTCAGTTTCAGTTACGCCATTGACACTAACGATCGTTTCTAATAGAATGCAATATCTTTATTGAACAAGAAGCAAAGAAGACTTTAAATCTATTGTGCAACAAAGCTTCCACTTTACGAAGACACTATTATGCTTAATTAAATACGTAAGTATTGTGGTCCAACTGGACTTCAATAACCTTTGAATTTAATAATCCTATACCACTTTACGCATCTGACAGCTCGTTATTCTTGAACAACCAAACTTGCTTATCATATGATCTCTTAAATTATGTCGGTTAAGAAATACAGATTAAAACAAGTAATAGTGAAACACTCGTAAAACCACTCTAAAGTAATCTTAAAGACGCTCTTCAATACGTCACAGAACTGTTATTATTACTGACTCATAAAATTTAAATTAAAGTTGAATAATAATATTATATGCTTTAATTTTTCAGAAAGAATGATTCTATAATTCAAACAAAGCTATCAGTGCTTACGCACCTATCAAAAATAATTAAAACTCTGAAGTCACCACAATTAGTCGATTAGTCAGTGGTAACGACGGCCTTAGAAGATCTGAATTCCGTGATCTAACATCGTGAGTTTGCAAGGACTATAGAGAATTGACTTTTAAACCGAGTTTTGGTTCCATTTTTCAAACGTTTGTTTTTGAACAGTCGAGTACTTACGAGACTGAGGGCCGTTGTTAGATGTTATCGCATCGCTCTATTGAGACAGGTGCCGTGTTAAATAATAGACATTCACCTGCATCC